TAACAACTATATACAGCAAATGGCCCCACATTGGTAAAACTGTACATATTCACACATCAAAAAATCATAGCAAAAATACAAAGCAGTATTAAAAGTGGATATATACAGTTGACTTTGTAACTAAAAAAAAAAAAAAAAGTAGATGTAACAAGGACAGTGGCATTGATGTATATTATGTTTTATGTAATTTACTTATAATGGCAAGGAAAAAACCTGTAATGAAAGTTATCCATTAGGCCTGGCATGGTGGCTTACGCCTATAATCCCAGCACTTTGGGAGGCTGAGGCAGGCAGATCATGTGAGGTCAGGAGTTTAAAACTAGCCTGGCCAAGATGGCGAAACCCAGTCTCTAGTAAAAATACGAAAATTAGCCGAGTATGTTGGTGTGTGCCTATAATCCCAGCTACCCAGGAGTCTGAGGCAGGGGAATCGCTGGAACCCGAGAGGCAAAGGCTGCAGTGAGCCAAGATTGCACCACTGTACTCCAGCCTGGGCGACAGAGTAAGACACCGTCTCAAAGAAAAAAAAGTTACACATTAGCAGTAACACTGTAGAAGCAAGAGTGTGAACGTGAGTACCACTTTACATACTTCCTGGGCGTGATTGTTTGAAATGAAAGCAGCACCACCTGCTGACTGTGGGGCTCTCTGCCACCTCTGCCCGCCTGCCCGCCTCCCAGGCCCTTCCCACAACAACCTGTCCAGTACAGTCCCTGCCACCTGCTCCGTGTCTGGCCCGGTGCTGAGGGCCCTGGTGCTGGCGGGCCGTGGAACATTCGTCCCTGATGCTCCACTGCACACACTCTGGCACTCCTTTCCTGGCATGTGACTAGTGGCTGTCACAGGGGCCCAGGGGAAGTGAGGGCATCTGTCTCCGTGGGTTTGCTAAGGACACAGCAGCAGTGGCAGCCTTGGGCCATAAACAGCCCACCAGAGAAGCATCCCCAGTTAGAAAGATTTTGGGCAGAAAGTTCAGGGAGAAGAGTTTGCCCAGGAAACACACCTAGGAAGCACTGCTGGGTAAGGCTCCCTGACCAGGAGGGAAGGGCAAACACAGGCAGGGCACGGCCCCAGGTACATCTCACCAGCCCTGGCAAAGGAAGCCAGGGCCGGGACAGGTGCTTTGGACCAAGAAATGTCACAAACCCTACGCACACTCCATCACTTGCTTCTCACTAAGGCTTCCAACAGCGAAACCCACTCTCGGCTCCCAGGCCGCCGTCTAGACCAGCCCCCATTCTTTCTCTGTCAGGCATGTGAATAATGTGACATTTTTAGATATTTCCAATGTAATATTAAAGGTATGTACAAAGTTCACAGCAAATCCTCAAACTCCAGGGTTCAAATCCTTTGGGAAGGGATATTCAAGTCCTTACTTATACTTTAAAATCCAAGAGCCCCTCTGATGAAGCTCCCTGCAGGCAGGGATGGCACGTGATCAAGGCTCCTCCTGTCCCCAGGCTGAGGCTCTGCAGAGCAGCCAGATGGGGGTCCCCTCAGGACGGAACCCAGGAAAGCCCCGAGGTGATAACCTGATAACCAACACCGTGGCCAACTTCTCCGAGTGCCCAGTCCTTGGCTGGAGTCTGGCCCTGGCCAGTGATTGTGCGAGGAGGGACAGCAAGGCTGACTGCGCCAAGTGCTTGTGAACTGACATGGAGGCTGCCCCACATGGCCCCTACAGCAGCCTTCCTAGCCGCCACCCCATGGCAGCCCGAGCACCCCATTCCTGCTCAGACCTCACCTTCCAACTCATGAAGCTCCAGGCGCACCACACCCCCGGCTCCCCAGGGGCCTTGGCACTCCCTGCTCCTCAGCCCTAGCAAATGGGACTTCCTTCCTCTGGGAATCCCATGCTGACCACCCCACTGTCCCCACCAGCGCCTGACATAGCCTGGGTCCTGGGTCCCCTGGCTACTGCCTGTCTGGGCCCCTCATACCACATCTCACGTGCCAGCCAGAGCACAAGTGTTTGCTGAACACGGAGATGACATGGCAGATGGCCAAGACTCTGTACAAAAGGGGCTCCCGTCCTTACCTGGATGCCAGCATGGCTGCACAGGTAGAAGTCGAACTCGGTGGGGTGGGTGATTTTCGTGTCCACAGTCGTGCCTGCTGGAATGTTTCCACTTTTCCCAACCTTCAGCAACACAGGCATCTCGTTAGACACGGCCAGCGACCGGCAGAGCCAAGCAGGTGAGCCAGGCAGCCGTGCCACCCGCTGGCCAGGGTGCCCTATTTTGAAGTTTGTAAATTGGCTAATACAGGTGCTGGGTGGTATAGCTTTAAATAAAATTTAACAAGTGCTAACCACCAAGTTAAATTAGTTAACACTCTATGTGGGGTGGGGTTATTTTCTGTCAACTCTCATGAAGGCCCATGAGTTAAATGTAGTCTTTTCACTGCAGAATGTGCCTTTAATGCCTTAAGAGTTCTTCACTATGTTTGGTGTTATTTTGATTTGAGGTCACGATGGAAA